TCCTGTATGTTTGTATATATGTATATATGTATACATGTATATATATATATATATATATATATATATATATATATATATATATATATATATATATATATATATACATATATATATATGCATATATATATATATATATATATATATATATATATATATATATATATATATATATATATATATATATATATATATATATATATGAAATGATGTATTTCTAAGTTAGGCTGCTCTCGATGAGCTCAAATTCCGTCTATCAGAGCTATGCTGTTGGGTAGATAAGCGATCATCAACAACATTTCTGTGTCAGTAATCAGAATGGAAAATATATTTAAAAAATTACATTCCGTAATATTATGCCATTGGACATTTACGCTATTAATGAGTTACTCTGTCAGGTGGCGAGTTTATGTAGTTTAGTAGGCCGATGCGTAAAGGTGATTCATAGATATATTTGATACTACTAACACACATATACAGTATTTGTTATTGTTTTCTTTTTCTTTGTAACGTTTTACCTTCAATAGATTTTTTCTTTACAAAAGACAATGGAAGTATTCAAGAGTTCATGCTAAGTGGCCAGTTTTTTTTCTTTCCTCCACGAGCTACACATATTCAACCCATCAAGTGAGTGTAGGTGTGGCATGTTGATATGAATGAGTGTTTGCAACTAAATAGTATCAAAAAGTACATATTTATACAGTTTATTTTCCAGATTTAGTGACGTCACAGGAGAGGAGAGGGTGGGGCTACGTCTTGCCTCACCTTAGAAATTTGTAAGTGCAAGTGATGCAAAGTGAGAGAGAGACTTAGTATATTTTATCTGTTTATTGCATCGAAACCTGCAGTCAGGAAGTTATTTCCCTCCTTACCGTCGAGGTAAAGACATAGATGGAGAGTACAAGTGCCATTTCAGTGTAAAATGGGAAAACCCCAATACAACAGTCCTATTCTTAGAAGGTCCTTCGTGCACTGGTCCTAATAAGCCTTGACGAGGAAGCCGCTGAAGGACACGTAAGCCTCGTTGTTCGGGTGCTCGTAGAGGCTTCCCTGCTGCAGCTCGAGGTGGACCAGGTCGCCCTTGTTCAACAGGAGAAGGGCCGAGTTGGAACCCTGCTGGTAGTTGCCCCTCCCGCCATAAGCTGTCACCTGGTACTGGCCGTTCTTCATCAGGGCCAACCTGGGGAGGAGGAGGCAGTCAGGGACAGCTCTCGTCTCCATTTTATGCATGCAAAATTCCATACAAAATCATGGTAAATCATACTCGAAACAGTCAGTCGAACAACTCACGTAAAGTCGCCTCCGTCTTGAGCCACGCCGTGGAAGGAGAAGTAGTAGAGGCCCCTGCAGGGAGCCTGGAAGTCGCTATCCGAGGGCGACCAGCCTCCCTCGGCGGTCAACACGTCCTGCAAAAAGGAACTCTGTATCACCTCGTCCTATCGCTTCTTGAAAGTGCGCGCGGCCATGCTAACAGGTATCCCATGCATGCACGCACACACGTGCGTGTATAGCATGATACAAATGTGCCAGAGTGCCACCTACCTGGAACCTGACACGGCTGGAGAAGCCGTTTCGCACCGTCGACGAGCTTCGGGTGGCCTTGCGCACGGAGAACGCTGACGAGCACCTGTGGAAATCGAAGTTAGCCACGAGATTTTTAAAAATATAATAGATAGTGCTTCCATGAAAACAAAGGAGGAGTAAGCAAGAGTACAAACAAATTAATAGGAGTAGAGAGGTGTAATGAAGCACAGCCACAACAGGAAGGGAACAGTGACTCGTGACGTTTCGAGTTAGATCAGACTCCTCATCAGAAAGCAAAAGGGAAGTGGATGATCGGCCGAGGGGTCTTAGTCCTGTTGTGGCTGTGGTTCATTTGAGCAGGAATTGGTGTGTCTCAGCGAGATGATGAGAGAGCAGGGCCTTGCCCAAAGAGGTGGGATAACTCGCCTAAATTCTGGTGGGAGCGAGTCTGGAGTGCTCCCGGGGATCGGACGCGGCTGTGGGGGAGGGGGGGCGTTGGGGAACGGAGCGCTCACACTCTGGGCTCCGCGGTCGCCCTGGCCACTGGCAAGGCCGCACAGCACGGCCAGCGTTGCTATGATCAGTCGCGCCATCTAGTGGGGAAAAGGTGCGTGGTGACTTTGGAGGAATGCAAGCAGAAATAATGAGCATATAATTAGATATGTAGATATGCAGATTAATACAGACATATATATATATATATATATATATATATATATATATATATATATATATATATATATATACATATATATATATGTGTGTGTGTGTGTGTGTGTGTGTGTGTGTAGATAAACAGATGCAGCTATAGCCTGTATTGAAATTAAACATAAAGTCTAACAAAAATACCAAAATATTTGCGTGTCATTTTCTTAGGAATATATAATGTAAATATTGAAAAGCTACGTGAGATGAAAAGAAAAAAGTCAAGGTGAGTTTTAGAGAACAAGACCCAGACCTTCCTTCCTCTTTCGCAGGG